CTCACGGCCCAGAAGGCCAGAAGGAGGAGAAAATCAAGAGGGAGGAGCTGGCAAAAACACTGAGAAGAAATACCGCCAGATGAGAGGCGAACTGGAAGCGAGCGGCCCGCTGAGAAGCTGGAAGAACGGTTCAACAGCAGCCTGGGGAGCAACGGAGGAGGAAGAGGAGGAGCGCGAGAAGGGAGCTCATTCGGATGAAGGGCAGAATAGCCACTTCGATCAGGTGCTGCGTTCCGGGCGGACCCTGCTCAAGGCTGGAGAGGAAAGCTCTACTCATCTTGAACGGCGTTCTCAAACCAGGACTTAGTTGACAAGGATCAAAAACTGCAGCTCAGAGTTGGAGGCAGCAAGCAAAAAAACACAAGTATGCAACCCAAGAAGCCAAAAGGAATCAGATCCTGAAGAGCGAGAAAGAGAAGTCTTTTCGACATCACGCCCCCCTCTGAGGAAACCATGCCTGGGAAGCATAACAATCGGGCGGAGTGGGAGACCCAAGATTCTTAAAAACTATTTCCTGGGAGAGAGGGGTAAGGAAGATGTAACGGAGGTGATCTGTGGGCGCCATAGATCTCTGCCTCCGTTACGGAGTAATATAGCTCATTTTTGGAAAGTATATTGATCTGTTCTGCCACTAAAACAGCCACAGGAAGGAATGTGAATATACATGTTAATTGATGCATCTATTTGTCACAATCTGTCTATGTTTTAGTTTGTCTGTCTCTTGTTTCATTTTGAAAATTGTTCCTCGTCTTGTCTGTTACTGGTGATTGTGGCCACCTGGTGCCCTGTGTTGTCTCCTCCCCCCTCACCTGTGTCTTGTTGGTTTGATGTGTGTGTGTGTGTGTGTGTGTGTGTGAGAGTGAGTGAGTGAGTGAGTGAGTGAGTGAGTGTGTGAGTGAGAGAGAGTGATCCTTGTGGCTGCTGAATGTGTTCAGGTGGACAGCAATATTGAGGCTGTGAATCATGTGTCAATGATGAATAAATGCCCACACCGGGTCGTATTTGGACGTTCTGCCTCCTTGCTTGTTCGGGCCGCTCAATTGTCAGCTTCACAGGGATAAACAAAAGAAGGGAATTTAGTGTTAATAAACCATTGATTTGATTAATTCAACCTGAAGAACACTGATAGTTATTTTGGCCCTGGTATTGACTGCTTCACTTTTGTTGTTGGATATAAACAGGGGAATTATTACAGCGAATAGAAAACTGTATTAGTAGTTATTGGTATCTATTGTTTAGGGATTGACTCAAAGTGTACAAATACCTTTTTAAGACTTAATTTCTGTTGAAGTTCTAGGAACCAAGTTGTCATACTTAGCAGGAAAAGATGACTTGCAATGTTGGTTGTCCTTTGGGTCTGTCAATAAGACGTACAGGTTGGAAAAACGTGTAGCAAAATGTTAAATAAAACACCCTTAAGAACCAGTCAAATGAATAATGTTGCTGTTCTGTGTCGCCATCTAGTGGTTATTTGGACAATCCAAGAGACAAAAACAATATGACTTGTTTTAGAGTTTTATTGGGAAGTTCAAATGATTTCTTCATTCATGATTTGTAACCAGTGTAACAGCTTTTAAAAGTGTGAATAAAATATATGAAGAGCTTTGCAGTAGAGATGCAAACATATGTTGATTCGTTTATAAAGGATATGATAAAATAAAAATATATAAAAGGATAAATGTAAATAAAGGACATCATGATAGTAGCATATAGAATCTGTAAGCCAGGTTTTCTCGCCTGCACAGACACATAAATCAGTCATCTTTAGAAAACAGTGGAGCTGATTAAAGGCACTGATTCCATTTGAAAATAATTATAATAATCCCCGCATGCAAACAAACAATCAAAAAAGACACCAGTGATTCTACATTTGAACCGATGATCAGATCATTAATAATTTAGGATCTGTATTAAGATGGACAAAAACATTCCCAGTCTTAATCATGGATGTCATATGACGCTATTAAATAAAAGAGAATAAGACAATATATAAAAATGTATACTAAATTAAAAGAATGAATCACATATCTGTAATTTTTATATGATCAGAATCTTTGGTATCTTATTTGTTTTACCTTTTCCAAATATCTAATTTTTCTAATTTTCTCACCAACACTTTCTGACTCAAAGGTGAAAGGGCATTGAATATATTATATTAAAACTATCCTGACAAGAGACATAATATGTAAGAGTAACAATAAAAAGGAAAATAAAATTATATGTGAGAAATAAAAATGGATTAATTGTTTATCTTTAAAAAAGTTGGTCATCCATTTTACTTGATTGATTTTATAATGTTTGTATTCATTTTTTTATATTGTCAGTTTCCCACGTATGAACTGTTTATTTGTTCCTCAATCTAAATAAAATAAAAATAATAAATACACATTTTCATCCTAAAGTCTGTATCGAGTGTAAAATGCAAACAGACTGAGATAAAGACTGGGGGAGTGGTGCATTCAGGGACTGCCCGGAAACATGACATCCAGAAGAGAAATCATGACTAGTTATCTGCAGTGTGGTTTTTGACATTGTACGTTTAGACAAGCAGCAGCAACACAACGCTCCCAGTTAAACATTCATGATATTTGGTCTTTAAAGCAGCTTAGGATTTATATAATAAGTATATAATAAAAAGTGTATATTGCACAGGATGAGCAGAAGCGGACGCTGCTGTTAGTAATAATCAGAATCTCCTGACCTGCACAGTTTAAACGTAATGTTAACAACACAGACATATAGCTTTGTGTGCGTTATGTTTGGCATTAAATCAGTCTTCAGTGAAACTCTCAGACAGCCTGAGTGGGACCCACCCTCATCTGAGACTGAAGACCCCTCAGAGGATCACACAGCTGGAAGGGGACGCCTCTTCACTGCTGGACACAGAATAACATGTTTCAAATCCTATTCACTCAAACCATTTCAATGTCAGACAGTCACCATTTTGAAATGTAATAGTTCAATATCTGCTCATATGTCTCATTTAAGTCTTAAGTCTCATTTAGCAGGAACCATGGACCAAAAGACAACTGAAAACCCCCCACCTGTGCTCTGGAGCGTCAGCCGGCTTCAGCCTCTTGGGGGCGCTGCCCTCAGACTCAGACGGGGGTCTCTGACTCTGCTCACTGGTCTCAGAGCCCACCTGAGGAGAGGGACAGAGGTAAACCTCAATATGATGGAAACTGCCTGGGAATTAAAATCTCAGAAAACTTGGTTTTAAATCTAAATATTTCTCTGGAAAATTAAAAATATTTATGACTTAATAAGAAGGCACAAAAAGTTGAAAATAACTGTTTAGTTATTGATTAACAGTCAAACACACAAAAAACGAATTTATATCAAGACTATAAAAGCCCAAATAGGCAAATAAGGGTGTTTGCTGTTGTAATACATGTTTGGACCACAAGAGGCTGAAACACACCACTACCCAATGTTCTAAATGTGGCATTCATGTTTTACATTCTCCATGTACTCTGATAACAGAAACATATATTCTGTTTTTTAACATGTGGTAGTACTGTGATGTTTTTATTATACTTATGTACTCTTATATACCTACAGGGGCCATTTTTGGACGAGGTATCTGTGTCATTCTGTGTGTAGGTGACAACATTTAGAAACATGGATGTTATCAGAGCAAGTGCTGGAACTAAGGGTGTAGGCTGGATTTGGTGTGATCCCATTGCAAAAAGGTCTCTAGTTTTAATCTGTACTAACTGTATTTACCTGTAAAACAGACATCTTTACATGTGTTTCAATCTTTTTGTGTGTGTGTGTGTGTGTGTGTGTGTGTGTGTGTGTGTGTGTGTGTGTGTGTGTGTGTGTGTGTGTGTGTGTGTGTGTGTGTGTGTGTGTGTGAGACACCAACCATGTTTCTCTTCCTGCCGGGAGTGCTGCTGCTGCTGCTGCTCGGCGTGTTGTGGCTGTCAGTGGCTGATCGGAGGGGTCTCCGGCACAACTCATCCCTCTGATGGACCACTGTCTCCTTAGACTGCAGCTTCCTGTACAGAGAATACATTCAATTTATCAGTTTCGACAAAACTACTAATGAAACATACATTTCAAGGGAAAAACATATTTATACGTGCGCGGTAAGGCTTCTAAATGACCTCAAATATACAGTAACCTATCACATATCTCTCCTGATAGGCCTTGTTGCAACTACTCTTTTTTTGCCATCTATCTACTTATCTGTCTTACACCTGCATTCTTCCAAATGGCCAGCAGGGGTCGGCTCAACTGCTTGTAAAAAGAAGTCATAATGTATAGAAGTCTATGAGAAAATTACCCAACTTCTCACTTAATCATTCACTTAATTTCCTCAGTAAACATTTTCCTAGTGATTGTATGTTCTTATTTGCTAGATTCTTCAACACAACATGACGTTCATTTAGTAAACAATGGACAATTTAGGGTCAAATAGACAATAAAGCAGGGTAGAGTTAGGGGCGTGGCTACCCTGTGATTGACAAATGGCTACAGTACAGTAGCAACCTTTCAGAGGCGTATCAATCTGTATCCATTGAAATGGGTATATATTAATGGGTACAAGCTTGTTTTTGGGTGCTTTGGTTTGTCATCTTTGAACTTAACCCGTTCACCCTTTTTTTAAGTTCATAAAATACTTTTTGGTTGGACTGAGAGACACACGGAGATGGTGCTTATATTTGCAAGCCAAAGTAAGCATGCCAACAAATATCCCCTAAAAAATGCTCATCCTAAAAACAGAGGAACAAATATAGACGTCCTATTGCTGTTATGATTATATAAATGTAATCCATGATGTTGTTAGTTACTAGCTGCTAGACACCCTGTGACACAAATACCAATAATATACTTAGTTTGAGATTGTGTTAAAGGTTTCCTCGCTTGATCTGTGATTCACTATAGCCCATAACATAAACTCCAAAATAAAGAAAGTTCTTCAACACAATTTGCAGAATCAATTCACATACACCTGAACATGTTCCACATCTGACCAGAGGACACATTTGTTACCAGGACTTCTCAAGAAACAATAACTTTAGCATCAGAATACCTAATGAACAATACTGGCTTCAACATGAACCTTTTTAAAACTCTAACATGATCTTGAAGCATTTCCACTTAGTTAATAATGATATGTAAATTATTTCCAGCCATATATCATAAATGTATCTCGTAATGTCAGCTTGAGAAGGGGAGGGGGTCAGACTTGTGCAGATCAACTGTCTTTAGCCTCCATGCATCCCTCGTGGACAGCCCCCGGCCTCACCTACTGTCACGAGCATCGATCTGCACGCTAATTAAGTCCCTTGGCTATGATGACCTTTTTTTAGTGTGTCAATAACATTTTATTAACAAAAGGAAAAACTCTGCACTAACTAAAATCCGTGTCAAACTTTCTTTGGCTAACCGCAGTTTTGTGAAGAAGAGAAAACAATGTCTACCAATGTGATATGAGTCCAGCACAGATGATAATAAATGTTTTATAATCATTGAGAGCAACTTTCGATAGATTCAGAGATGTCAGTCCAGGCAGTGTGTAGTCAAATCAATAATTTAGCGATGTGTAGACCCCCCCCCTCTCAACCCTGTTCCGCTCCCCAGTGGTGTGAGCGCTGCTGACCCTCGGTCCTCTCGGCCTGTCCTCTCTTCAGTCCTAATTACGCTCCCTGGAGTTTAGAGCCGTCAGCCTGCAGCCCCGGCCCCCCCGTCTGCTGGGTGGTCCGAGCTCTTTGACAGCCCCCTCTGACAAAGTGATAAACTAATTAGCCTGGCCGGGCATTCTGGGGTCGGGGCCTTCAGCATAGCTGCCCCCCCCCTCGACAACGCAGGGGCCTGACCCGGACCCTCCTTAGGGGAACCTGGGGCCAGG